CTTTATGCGCGGGGGGAAATCGGTACTGTCTCGTGTGTATCGGGACGTTATCGTTCGTATGAATGTGATGTTGCAGAACAGTGGATCCGAGAGATTCTCTTGGCAAATAAAAACAATCTGCGCTTCGTTCTATTGATTTTTCAACAGCCATACGTTCTTCATTATTCAAATGATCGAGTTTGATAAGTTCTATTATTTTATTATACCGAAAATTTTTGTTCGTCTCTACACAATATGTTCTATTCGATTCTGAGCTTGAAGAAATTGTATTGATTCTTGAAGTTGATTCAAAATTTAAATTTGAGTTTAAGTTAGAATTTTGATTTAGATTTGAACTTGATATTGAATTTGAATCTGGATCCGAACTAGAAATAGAATTTGAATTCGAGATTGAGATTGATTTTGATCCTAATTTTGATGTTGAATTGGTACTTGAATTAGAATTACAATTTGTATTTGAATCAATTTTTGAATTAGGATAAGAATTCGAATTTGAATTTATATTGGAATTAGAGTTAGAATTAAGTCTAGAATTAGTTAATTCATTGAATTCGAATATTTGTATAGTGGGTACAAATACATCGTAATCTTCTTCGGTCGTATTTATTACCCATAAGTGTGCCTTTCCGTCCCGTATGGTGACTAGCGCATTACCTAAGTAAACGCCTTCGGCCAAACTTAGTTTGGGAACATATCCTTCTTTTAATTCTGTGTTAGCGACTTGAATATATAATTGCGAATATATAATTGCCCTTGCAGGAATAGTTAAAATTTCCTTAGGTTCGAATGGTATCGTTATATCATCCCATTCCAGGCGATTTGTCTTGTAGTTTACGTTGGCTTTGAATTGATTAAAGAAATCAGAACCCAGTATTCCGTCTTGTGGTATAGGAAATTCGTCTTCCACTAAATGAAACGTGACTGGACGTCCTAAGATGTCTACCAGTCCTAAGGTGGGCACATGGTGCGCCGTAATTCCCGTTAGTTTTAGAATCTCGTTCCTATTTACCGGAACATTAGATTTTAAGAATCTTTCTTTGATGATGTTTGGCCCCGAACCGCTGTCTATTAAGAATTCTAAAGAGCCATTCAAATCTCTGCTTTCTAACCTGACTACTGGTACTTCTTCCGTGCACGTTAAATTTATTGCTCGATATCCGTATCGAATGTCGTCGTTATCGCTCGAGCGGGGCGTGTGTTTGTATTTCCCGGAATCGCCCCTGTTTTCGCGGGAATTTCCTCGTTTCCCTGCACTTGACTGTTACGAACCTGATTATTAAATGCTCGCTTGCGGCAATCTTCGATTGCGTGTCCCATTTTTTTGCAATATCTACATATAATTTGAGACGTATTGCCAGGATTTTGTGATTCTCCCGGGGGTGATGGTGTTCGTGGATTGTTATAATTTCGATTATTCGACGCGAAGTTCGTTTGGCCTGAGTTGGTGTTAGATAAAAAATCTCGTCTAGGTTTATTACTGCTGATAAGTCTACAACGGTCGGCGGTATGCCCAATTTTATGGCAGTATTGGCATGTTATCGCCTCGGCACCTACCCGACGCACAGGCGTGCTATTTGTGTATTTGTTATCGCTAGACGTTTTTCCTCTAAGTACTATTTGTCTTAGCGTTTTCACGGTCTCGAGTTCTCTTTCGGCGTCTATAGCGCGGCTCTCTAATTCCTCGAATGTTCCTTCTTTTGACATTATTATTTCCGGATTCAAACCACGTAGGAAACACACCTTTAAATGCTCTTCGACAGATTTCTTAAAATCTTGACTAATTTCGTTCGATTGCCATTTTTGGGCGTCTATTATACGCTTTCCTATTTCGCGGACACGATTCGCATAACTTGATACCTTTTCATCTTCCTTTTGACATATTTAAGCGAGTCGAGCTTGCGCTTCGTAAACCGTTTCTCTAGGGCCATATTTGCTATGTAAAAATTCGACTAAACCCTGCAAAGAGCTAAACATTTTCCCGAGTATGGATCTATGAGCATCGCCCTTTAATTTGTTACGTATTGCGCGCACTAAAATAATTTCTTGTGAAGACGCAATCATGCTGAGCGCTTCTTCGCATCCTTCCACGAAGTGAGTAAACGCGATATTATCTCCGTCAAAACTAGGTACAGCTTCTAACGCGTCCCTGATTGAAAAATAAACAAAATTCCCGAAATTAGGATCGTTAGATCCTGTTGTAATTACCTTGTGATTGTTCTAAATGTTGTTACTGCTCTTGTAGTTGACGAATAATACGTTCTTGTTGTTGTAGTCTTTGTTGTAAATCGGCGATATCGAGTTCAGTTGTCATTGTGGTATTATTTGCACTGGGATTTTTTTCCTTGAGGGGTATGTACTACTTTGCTCATAGATGAAACTTTTACACACCTTAATCACTGACAAAATTTTCCGCACAGCCTGACAGAGCGTATCCCACCGCTGTCACCAAATTTTTGTTACGTCACAATTGAGATTTTCTCCGTTTTTAAGGTCAATGCATTAAAGCAATTTACCCGGGAAATCAAGCCGTGTGGTCAGGGATGTTCGGTAGGAAGGGTTATGATTTGATCGGATAATGATTTGAAAGGGAAATCTTGAATCCGGTGCCAAAAAGATTTCGCAGCTTATAGGCGAGTCTGCGTGGATCGCCCTTTTGGATATCTTTATAGTCAGGAAACGAAAAATCGATCTCCAAAAGTTGGAGTGAATATACGTTTCCGCGAGACGAATCTACCGGTGCGTTTCGATTTAGAAGTTGCGCTAGTTTTTGGAAATGGGGGAAAGGATCTTGGTTTGAATTAAGAGCTGATTTGATTTGAAACCTCAATCTCTTTTCCTGTTGTCTACGTCCGCCTTTCGTAGGCATGTAGGTAATGCAAAAGAATAAATCCTACGAAGGAGTACCGTAAGACGGGGGCCACGCTTATTGGCAGCGACAGTCACGATAATCATTCGAGTTATGAATTCTTTGAGGATGGCCGATATCAGACGGGGGCCACGCTATTGGCAGCGACAGTCCTAACAGCCCTCTGAATGCGTGATACTTATGAATTCTCCGAAGAAGCGATATTAGACGGGGGCCACGCTATCGGCAGCGACAGTCGCAACAGCTCCTCGGATACTTATATAATTGAATGTAATTGAACAGAACAGAGATTTAGGCTTCGGCGATTTGGTTTAATATTTTAGGTTTTTAATAATAAAATAAAACAATGAGAAAACATAAGAGTGAGTTTCGAGTAGGAGCGCAAGGATAGTTCTTACTTACTTCCCGGGTAGTTTTCTACCTTTTACTCTCTGCGCTTTTGCTTTTGGCAGCTCCTTTTATACTTGAAAATAAATGTGGGAGTGTCCAATCAGTACTCCTCAGGATTTGATAGAACCTATACTCGCGCTCGTTTCCTGAAGATAAGGCAGCAGGGCTTCGCGTAAACCCTACTCCCGACACTACGAGTCTAGTTTTATCTTAGTAGACGAGAGTTTTAATAATTTATAAAAGTTCGATCTTTCTTAACTAATATCCCTACGCGAGTCGAGATCGAAGTGTAACAACATTTTCTAAGTAATATATATTTTAAATTGGTTTAAAATATATATTATAACTTTATATAATATAATTTTTTAGGTAAATTTTAATTTCATTAAAAATAAGAAAAATGTGAAAAGATTTAATTTTTACCATACTACTCAATTATTAATTATTAGGCATATATGCTATTATTTAACTATTTCTTAGATAAAGGCTCTCAAAAGAAAAAATTGTGAAATAGCTATTCTTTATCTGTGGCGCATGAAGGTATGCGAGCGTAAGCGGTCTGTTTGTTTGGATGTTGAAAAAGAAGGGAACTAAGTAGGCCCTCTTATAAAAGATATAGTTTCGAAATAAAGATAAAATAGGGAAAAACTAAGACGCAATACTAAACTAGAGATAGGCTAAAGATAATGTATGAATCATATATTTATAATAAAGAAGAGGAGAATTTTATCGGGATAACACTTTTATTATACATATAGATAAACAGGTCAACTCAAAGTCTGTGGCGACAGATGGATCACAACCCAGTCAGCCTGTTACATCTGATACAATCAATTCTCAGACAATGGCAACTCACAACATGAGTAATAACAATGATAGGTATGCGATGTTGTCAACTGCAATAGCCAATGCATTCGATGTTAAAGGAAATAAGGTACCATGTAGAGTATTATTGGACAATGGTTCACAGGCCAATTTGGTAACACGGGAATTCTTATCCAAATTAAATATAAAAACTAAACAACATCAAGTATCCATAGTTGGAATAAATCAATTGGTGAGTAGTGCGAATGAGAGGGCTACTATCAAAATTCAGTCTCGTATCAACAGTTTTCAGTTAACCATAGAATGCATTGTTACGGAACAAATTACCGGGTTGGTTCAAACGATACATATCAACAAACGAGTTATAAATCTTCCTAAAAATATCAAACTTGCAGATCCACAATTCAATGTACCATCGACAGTTCAATTGTTATTGGGTGTTGATGTTTTTTGGCAATTGTTGTGCATCGGTTAAGTCAAGCCGTCTGTTAACCATCCCACTTTACAGAAAACAAATTTTGGCTGGATTTTAGCAGGATTCATCAACAATAGATGTTTAAGGAGTAATGGTCATAAGTACACAAGAACTAGTTGCTTAGTGTCTATCGATACGTCCAATAATGAACTTGAGCAGTCATTAACAAGATTTTGAGATGTGGAACATAATTTTTCGAGTTAAGGTATACTATCACCAGGTGAACGTGAATATGAGGAACATTTTTTATAAACTATCACACGAAATGATGATGGTCGATTTTTTGTCACTTTACCAATTAAATCCCCACATCTACAACAACTTGGTGAATCTAGAAGCATAGCTTTAAGTAGATTATATAATTTAGAAAAACGGTTCAAGCACAATGATCAATTAAAAACTGACTATACGAATTTTCTACACGAATATCTAGAACTCAGACACATGCAGTTAGCAGATGATTCAAATAGCAGCAACGAGAGAATGCGATTTTATTTGCTGCATCATTGCATAGTTAAGCAAACAAGTATCACAACTAAGCTCAGAGTGGTATTTGATGGATCCTGCAAGTCCAGTACTGGTACATCATTGAATGATATTTTAATGGTGGGTCCAATAGTTCAGTCAGATTTGTTCTCTTTGCTAGTAAGATTTCGCATATACAAATATGTTTTTACTGCAAATGTAGTAAAAATGTACAGACAGATTGTGAATCAATCACAAACGTCGTTGCAGTCCATACTGTGGCGGGATCATGTCACGCAATCAGTTCGTACATATGAGTTAAAAACAGTAACATATGGCACTGCGTGTGCGCCTTATTTGGCAACTAGATGTCTCAAGTATTTAGCAGAAATATATCACAGTGATTTCCCAGTCGGTGCCGGGGCAATAATCAATGATATGTACGTAGATAATTTACTGACGGGTGCACAATCGTTGTCTGAAGCAAAAATTAAGCGTGATCAAATCATTACCATTATGTCAAAGGGTGGTTTTGCACTAGATAAATGGTTTTCTAATGACAAGGCGCTATTAGAGGGACTTCGGTCCACAAGTGGGCAGGAAAACGTTCTTTTAACTGAAGGCGCTGTAACTCACATCCTTGGACTGCAGTGGGATCCGCATGAGGATTCATTTCGGTATACATTTGATGGGGAAGGCAAGCATTCGAACGTTACAAAGAAGAATATGCTTGCAGAAATATCATGCTTACTTGATCCCCTAGGTTTGATCGATCCAGTCATTCTCATTGCGAAGTTGATGATACAAGAATTGTGGAGATTAGAATTAGATTGGGATGCCTCGGTTCCGGTAACATGCATTCACGTTGGTTAGAATATAAGGTACAGTTATCCAAATTAACATGGAATTACGCATTCCACGAATGGTTGGTCCAACTATAGAAGCACTAAAGGTGCAATTTCATTTGCTGACGCCAGTCAGTATGCATATGAAGCTTGTTGTTATATTAGGATAGGTGATGCACAAAATCACTTTCACACACGTTTATTGGCATCCAAATCGCGAGTTGCACCAGCAAAGACAGTTTTACTGCCGCGTTTGGAGTTGTGTGCAGTCCTGCTTTTAGCTCAGTTGCGAGAAAGTTTGCTTAAGGCAATTGAATTTCAGCCACATCAGATATATCTTTGGACTGACTCCACCATTGCATTGTCATGGATCAGAACGCATTCGCGCAAATTTGCAATATTTATATCTAACCGTATTGGCGAAATTAAGAGGCTAACAAAATCAGTAATTGGCATCACGTGTTCACCAAATGCAACTCCGCAGATATAATTTCTCGCGGGGCGAGCCCCTTGGAGTTAATTAAATCAAGACTTTGATGGAACGGTCCAGATTGATTAGCATTAGATGAGAAGGATTGGCCTGAGAATCATCCACAATACCCAGAAACTTTACCAGAATAAGTAAAAGTCAATCTACATGTTGTAAGACAAACGTCAGATGTACTAGAGAATTTAATTGTTAAATATTCTAGCTTCAACAAACTAATCAGAGTAATAGCATATGTGTTTCAATTCTATAATAATTGCAGAAATCCGTTAAAGAAACGTAATGTAACTAGACAGGATCAAGAGCTTGCCTTGCAGATTTTGTGTAGATACGTGCAGCATCAACATTTCAATCAAGAAATACATGAGTTAATGCGCACAGGAGTGATATCCAATACAAGTAAAATATTATCTCTCAACCCCTTTCTAGATCAGAATGGGTTATTGCGAGTAGGTGGTCGGTTAAAAAATTCTGATATAGCTTACGAAGCCAAGCATCCAATTTTGTTACCCAAGGACCATACGATTACGAAGTTAATCATACGCTATGAGCATATTAAGAACCTACATGCAGGAGTTCAATTAACAATGTATGCAGTTCGCAACAAATTTTGGCCCATTTCAGCTAAAGTAACTACTAGTAACATTGTAAAAAATTGTATACCATGTTTCAAACTTAAGCCTAGTATATCACAAACTATCATGAGCGACCTTCCGAGTTCACGAGTAACTCCCTCTCATCCATTCACTCATACCGGTTTAGATTTCGGTGGACCATTTGTTATAAGAGAACACAAACGTCGCAATGCGAAATTACTTAAGATTTATATATGCATTTTCATATGTTGTTCCACCAAGGCGGTGCACATAGAATTGGTGGCTGACTTATCATCAGAGGCTTTTTTGGGTTCACTCAAACGATTCATGGCGCGAAGAGACAAGGTACATGCCTATAGACAATGGGACGAATTTTGTAGGCGCGGCTAGAGAACTTAACGAGTTGCATAAGATGTTTGCTGAGGAGCAAGTTCAGCGCAAATTAAATGACTTTTTTGTAGAAACTCAAATTCAGTGGCAAAATATACCTCCCAATGCTCCGCACTTTGGCGGTCTTTGGGAGGCAGCCATTAAATCTGCCAAGTACCACATGAAAAGAATTATTGGCAATGCGTCTCTAAATTATGACGAAATGTCTACAGCAATCACTGAAATGGAGGCTATTCTGAACTCGCGCCCCATAAGTCCAATGTCAAACGATCCTAATGATGTGCAAGCGTTGACACCAGGACATTTTCTTATTGGTCAACCTTTAAATAGTTATAGTCATCCAAATTTAGAGGACATCCAGACAAATCGTCTTAGCCGTTGGCAATTGGTTGAAAAAATGCGTCAACACTTTTGGCAAAGATGGTGTGTTGAGTATCTCAATAACTTGCAAGGTCGAAGTAAATGGATGAGCGATAAGAGTGAATCTCTTAAAACAGGACAACTTGTTGTAATTGGACAACCAGGATTAGCACCGTTGCAATGGGACGTGTACTGCATGTAAATATAAGCTCACACAACAACAAGACAATAAAATCAGATCAGCTGAAATTAAAACCAATAATGGTATAATTACTCGTCCATTAATTCGATTAACCATATTACCAGTAGATGTTAAGACATAAATAAGTATTTTTGTTAACTATCGTTATATTATTATTCTTAGCACATATATTGTATTCATTAATTAATTATTTGATCTTAATGCAAGTGATTAGTCATAAGTCTTTGAGCGATATTTGTAATTTTCACCATCAACCAATTTTGCTTTACTGTATTCTACACATATGTTAATTTTCGATTGAAACTAAAGAGTTTCAAGGAGGGCAGTGTATGGATTTTATGTACCGATACTAACTTTAATTTGTAATTGCCACTTCATTCTTGTCCTTGCGCGCTCTTATGATAATCGCAAGCGTCTATGATTGGTAGAGCTTCAAGAAGAAGGAGGGCGCTATGCGCTGCGCCATGCGTGGCGCTAGAGAGGCGAGAAAAAATGGAAAGGACGAAGGTCTTGTCGGTTGCCTTCTTGAGTTACGATAAACGAATTATCATTTTTAATTTTGTTCTACCTTAAGAGTCACTTTTGAGCAAATATATACATAAAAAACTTGTGAAGTGTGTATTCATTGGATCACCCAAGCAGCGGATGATCATATATATTATGACATCCCACATCCGATAATCCTTGGTCGGAAACAATTCTCAATACTGGTACTGGGAAACTGGATTAATCCATTGCTTCAAGTATTCGGCGCAGGTAGTCGTCCTGATTGGTCTTTCACCGTTTCCTACCCTGATAACATCGTAGGTGTCCTTCGGCTTCACTCTGGTAATACGATATGGGCCTAGGTATCGCGGTTTAAGCTTCAAACCTGGTCCTATTTGCGTCCGTTTTCTAGCCACCAAGTCATTGAGATGGTACTTGTTAGGGTCTCTGCGGCGCAAATCGTATCGCTTCTTATTCTCCCGCTGAACTTTCTGGATTTGTTCCTTGGCATCTTTTCTTAATTGCTTTCGTACATCGTCGTAATAGTGAATCATTTCATGTTCTATGGCTTCCTTCATGGTGAGGTCTTCATTAGTTCTCATCTTTATACCGATTAGTAACTCAAAGGGTGTAGTAGCAATACTACGCTGATAGGTAGAATTCAGCGTCTGTTGTAATCTAGAAACATGTTTATACCACTTGGCGGGTTCATTGACAGTCATTTTTGCAAGTACTGGGATGATAGTCCGGTTGATCTCTATATGGCCGTTGGCTCTGGGTAGATCAACTGTGATCTTGAGATGCTCGATGTTTTCTTGAAGACAATAGCCTTCAAACTCGTCTGAGGTAAAGGCTGTACCTCGGTCAGAGATGATCCGTTTTGGATTGCCAAATATGCACTTCTGTTGCTCTAACTTTTGAATAACTTCTTTAGATGATACAGTCTTAGTTGGGTACAACCATACAAATTTTGTAAAAGCATCAGTGACGGCCAAGATATGCTTGTAATCCTTGCTGGTTGACTCGAGTGAACCCAAATGATCCAGATGATAGGTATGTAATGGGACGTCTCCTTTGTTTAATGGATGTAAATATCCTTCTTGTTTATCTAATTTCTTGTTAATCAAGATACATTTCACGCAATTTGCGATGCATCTCTCAATCTTCGAGTGTAAATTGGGAATAAAGAACTCTTGCTTTATTTCTTCCTCTGTCCTTTTTACAGCAAAGTGTCCTCTTTCGTGGGCCGTTTTAATGATTTCATCTTGCATGGCGTTCGGGACCACTAATAGCTCATATCCCTGTGAGCATTTATAAATCAATCCGTTACGTAGTAAATAATCTTGATATGGACTCTCTTCCAATAACCGTTTTATGTTCGTAATCTCTTCATCTTCTTCTTGAGCTTTCTTTATCTTTGGAAGGATATCACTAGAACTAACCGCCATTACTGGGTAACGATTCAATGCGTCCACATGCTTTAGTTTGGTTCCGGATCGATGTTCGATTGAGTAATTGTAGTCCTCCAAAATCAAGGCCCATCTTGTGGTTCGAGGCATCAGATCTTTCTTTCTCATGGTCTGTTGGAACGCAGCGCAATCCGTAACAATCTTGAATGCTCTTCCTAATAGATGGATGCGAAATTTTTTTAAAGCCTCGACTACGGCCAAGGCTTCAAGTTCATAACTGGAATATTTTCGTTCTGCGTCTGAGGTTTTCTTGCTCATGTAGTACACAGGATGTAGTTTACTGTCTTCAGGTAATTTCTGTAATAAGACAGCCCCGTAACTATCTTGGCTGGCATCGGTATGAACTTCGATCTCATATTCTTGATGATAAATACTCAAAACTGGCTCCTCAATCAAACACTTCTTCAGTCGTCTGAATGCGTCCACTTCTTCTGTGCCAAATCGATAAACAGATTGTTTTTTCGGAATATCGCTTAATGGCTTGGCTATTTTGGAATACTCAGGGATGAATTTTCTGAAGTACCCGGTTAACCCGAGAAAACTTTGTACTTGCTTGATATTCTGGGGCTTTGAAAATCTCAGAACAGCTTTGATCTTATCCGGAGACGGGTACAATTTCCCATCTTTTACCACATGTCCTAAAAGTTCAATACGTCGTTTCAATAATTGGCACTTCTTCTTATTAATAGTCAATCCATAGCTTTCCGCTCGCTTCAGCACTAATTTCAACCGTTCAACTGCTTCCTCTTCGTCTTTCGCAGATATTATTAAATCGTCAATGTATGGTAGAGCTATCTCTTTTACTGCCATGTCGCTGAATATTTCGTTGATGAACCGCTAAAAGACTGCTGGCGAGTTACATAAACCAAATGGTACCTTTAGAAATTGATATTGTCCGTCATGTGTTACAAACGCCGTGTATTTCCTGCTGTTTTCACTCACCGACACATGGAAAAATCCATTCTTGAGGTCAAGTGAACTGAAAATTCGGGCGTCTTGTAGTCGATCCAAGATATCTTCTATGAGTGGTAGAGGATAGCGATCCTTGATTATCATTCTATTAACCGCTCTGTAGTCTATAAACTCGTGGCGTATCGTCTTTCTTTTTTGTAACTATTACCTGACTAGCATATTCTGATGAGCAGGGTTCAATAATTCCTTCCTTGATCCACTGAGTTACTTGATCAGCCACAAATTTTCGCTTTGGAAACGGTAAGCGTCTTGGTCTCGAAAATATCTTCTGATCTTCTTCTACGGTGATAGTCATCTCAATGGAGTCTTTGGTCTTTTTCGGTGTGTAATCATTCAAAAGGGTCGTCACCTCTCTTATTCTACTTTCACTAACATCGTGTCCCATGTCAGGCGAATTTTCCTCAATAACGTAGCTTGGTGACAGCATATTGCTTATTTCATGCATCTTGTTAATAGCGATGTTACTCTGATTTATATTTACTTCTGCTTGTGACAACAGCTCATTGCCAACAACAGCTTCCATAGTCATGGCCCCGTCAGCTACCACGTAGATCGTTACTGGGAAATATCCATGATTGATTCGAATAGTATCCTCAAAACATCCTATTGGTTTTACCTCGCTCCCACCAAATCCGGAGAAATATAGTATCGTCTTTGATAATGTTGGCACACCTATTTTGTTATATGAACTCTGGTTAATAATATTCAGCTGACTTCCGGTATCCACTAAAGCGTTGAATTCCTTGTCCTGGATTCGGATGCTTTTATACATGCCTTTCGGGGCGTTGAGGCTGTTTACCTTCTCTATTTTCTTTTCTTCTTCTATATCTTTCATCTTCTTCGACTTTTCCCTCTTACAGTCGAGAGCTTTATGCCCAAACTCGTTGCATTTGAAACATTTAGTGCCTTTACTCTTGCTATCGCACATGGTTGATCGATGGCTAATTTCGCCACAATTAAAGCAGCGTACAGCAGTCCTCTTTCGGTTTTATTTTCTTATTTGCAGCTGCATTTGCTGATTTAGTGATACTGGTGGTTTTCATTCTCATTTTCTCATACACTTTTAATTTTTCTTTGAATTCTTTCGCGTTTCTCGCTCCGTACAACACGCTTTTATTTACTGTCTGATCCTCCATGCCGTCGATAACGTATTGAAACAAAGCTTCTTCTATTTCGCCTCTGGATGCTATCTCTTTCATTGCGAGAAATTAGGCCTGTATCGATTCATCCTTCTCAATTTTTTTTTGTCCATCTGTCGATGCAGTTCTGCGCTATTTATTCTATCACTAAATTCGTCCTTCAGTGCTTTTTTTCAGCTTCCTCCATGAATTTATTCCCTTTTCTCCTTGCATGAATAATTTAGCCAGACTTTTTAGTGACTTCTTAGCGAATATTAATTTCTGCAGGTCAGACCATTCAAAAAGCTCAGCTGCTTCTTCAAAATCTGTTATCCATTGCTCTATTGGACATTTCTCATCGCTATTGAAAGGTCTGATTGAATCTTTCACGTCTCTAAAAGTTATTGCGAATTTATCTCGTATTTTTTCTCGTCATGTTCTTAGTCTTACCTGGTTGTCTATCGTCTTCGTCCTCTTCGTTTTCTGTTTCGTCTTCATGCGAGCCTTCGTTACTTCCTTTTGCTTCGTCTTCATTGATGTCATTATCACCATCGTTAACGTCATCGTCGTCATCTTCTTCTACGTCTTCCTCGTCTTTTCCGTCGTTACTCGCCTCATTAAGTGAATTGAGATCCATAAGATAATCACAAATTCGCTGGTTTAGTTCTTTCTTCGTACCTGTGTAATCAATCGCTAATACATTGCAAATTGAAATTAAATCGCTCCATGCGAGCTGGATATCCGCATATGACAACTTCGTTACGATCCGCTAGCGAATGTAAAACCTTGAAATTCGTGTAGTCTCTTTCTATTTCCGCGGTCTCCTTCCTGCTCAAACACGAACTTGTGTAATGTCCTTACGGCTTTCGCGAAACTCGTCTTAAGATTGTTAGCTACGATCTTTATTTGCTCAAGCTTTTCTGTCATCTTAATAATTTTACCTTAGAAAAAACTA